GCTACTTAGATTCTGCCAGCCCAGAGTTCTACAGTGCTATATGCCAAAATGTTAAGTTCAATTCTAAATTTAGGGTCAAATTGGTAATGAGTTTTCTGTCTTCTACCATGATTAGAATTCTTGAAATCTTTTTTTTGTCATGTTTTGTTTCTCAATTTGTAAATGTTGATTTTGAGAGGATGTTAGGCTTTGATTTTCCATTTCACCTAGCTAGCTCAAAAAGAGGATTTCCTTCTCTTTTTGGAACAAGTAATACATTGAATATTCATAATAAAACTTAGCAGCGACAAGAGAAATCATTAACTTCATGAACACAAAACATGGTCTGGCAGGGAAGGAAGTCTGGGCTTGAGTGCAGACTCCAGCATACTCACAGAATGTCATACAAACCCCATTGTCTACTTACAAGAAGAGAAAAGGTATCTCTTGAAGCCTGCTATGTACTGAGATAGGAGATTCAAACACTCTGATAAAAAAACTGAGGCTCAAAGAGATCATGTAGGTAGCCTCAGATCATATAGTTGGTAAGTACTGGAACTCAGATTTAAACCCACATCAGTCTGACTATCTCCAAAAATGTGTTCTTTTATTTTATATCATGATAACTACTTTTAGATTAGTGATATCCCACTAAAATTTAAGAAGTGTGTTTCTCAGCTCCCTGAAACCCATTTGCCAACATCTCCTATAATCTGATAATAATGTTGCGGGTTAGTAATCAAGAGACTGTAGAATGAGGTGCCTGAGTGAGGATGCAGAAGTCCTACTGATGGATGAGAATCAAGACTACTTCCAGCAGTATGATTTTGGGTACATTCTTTGACCCATGGGTTTGATAGGGAAGGGATACACAATAAGAATAGGATCACAGTTGATTAATAGCTATTCACTGCACTTAGATAAGATATTTTTTCTTACAGACCAAGGGAAACTGTGGAGGATGTGTTACAAGATGAAAGACTGTTTGAGAGGATTAAAATAAGATAATACATATAAAATGCTTGACAGGACCTTACAAATGGTAAGTGCTCAATAAAAATTATTAATATTTATTATAATTAAATAGTACTGTAAAGAATGCTGCTTAAATTATCAGTGTGAAACTGGATCATTGTTAATAGAGGATTACAGAATACTTCTCTAAGCCCTATCCTCTTCAATGGTATAAAAGTGACCAGAGTGAGGGTGTGTATATGAAATCATCACATTTAGGGAAAAAGAAAGCTGGGATGTGTAGTGAAGACACTGTGTGATAGAGTCAGATCCAGAAATCCTGAGCAGTAGATGGTATTTAGTTGCATTAAAATGCTGCCAACAGCTCAGTGACTTAAACAAGCAGTCATTTATTGTCAGCTGACCTCAGCTGTAGGCTGGGTGCTTGAATTGGGACAGCTGTGCTGCATGTGTCTCATCTTCTTCTTGGGATCAGCAGCCATCACAGACATAGCCTTCTCATTGTAATGGTCCAATCACAAGCATACAAGTCCAGTCACAGAAACACTACTCAAGATTCTTTTGTTCTCATGTCTGTTAACATGCCATTGACCAAGGCAAGTTGAATGGCCAAGCTGAGTACTAAAGAATGACACTAAGTCCTAACCAGTTTGGCTCAGTGGATAGAGCGTCGGCCTGTGGACCAAAGGGTCCCCGGTTCGATTCCGGTCAAGGGCATGTACCTTGGTTGTGGGCACATCCCCAGATGGGGATGTGCAGGAGGCAGCTGATTGATGTTTCTCTCTCAGCAATGTTTCTAACTCTCTATCCTTCTCCCTTCCTCTCTGTAAAAAAATCAATAAAATATTTTTTTTTTTAAAAAGAATGACACTAAGTCCACAGAGTGAAGGCAGTGCAAAGTTAATGGTAAATGATACACAGAACACTGAAGAATCAAAACGATTAGTGCAATCTAGTATGGGCTGAATCCAATGAAACAACATGTACCATGGCTAAATTTAAAGTTTTTGATTTGGGTCCCAATTTTATCCCAGGAAGACAAGCCTAAGCAGCAGCATCTGTAGGAGATGTGGTTGCCACCGTATTCATGTAAGTAAGAACC